AAGTGAAGAGAGAGTAGTCAGACCGAGACTGGACAAAACCAAACTGCAGTAGTGCTGTACTTAGCTTGGAGAACCAACAACGCAGAGCTTGTTTTAACCCATATAAAGACTTCCTTAGCCTGCATACTTTGGTAGGATCGTTTGTCTTAAACCCAGGTGGAAGCTTCATGTAAACTTCCTCATGTAAGTCGCCATGGAGGAACGCATTTTGCACATCCATTTGATGAATTTCCCATCCTTTCACAGCAGCAACTTTGAGTAGTGTACGGACAGTGTTGATCTTAACAACTGGAGCGAATGTTTCATCATAATCCTCCCCCTCAACTTGACGGTTACCGCAGACAACCAGTCTTGATTTGTGTCGTTCTACTGTCCCATTAGCATTGTATTTGATCTTATGTAGCCATTTGCATGATAGAGGTTTCTTTCCAGGTGGTAAATGTGTTATATCCCATGTTCTCGCTTCCTCCAGTGACGAGATTTCTAGACCCACTGATTTTCTCCAATTTTCATCTTTCATTGCTTCTTTGAAGCTTTTTGGTTCCACACCAGCTGTAACTGCAGCTAGAAATAGCCTGTGCTGTGGAGAAAAATCATCATCACAAGTGTAGTATTGAATGGGGTAGAGAACGTTACCATGGACCGCCGAGGAATTGATTGGTGTAGGGCCGATGAGTGGTGTGTATGTGTGTTTATCAGGTTCTGCAACGGTGTTGTTGCAGACAAAATCTTTGAGTTTAACTGAGGGACGCTTCTCACGATGGCCTCTGCCTAGAGCTGTAGACTTTGCTGGTGAAGGTTCACTGGTGATGTTTGTAGTGTCAGACTCTGGCGGAGGAGCTGTAGTGGTGATCACAGCTGGTGAAGCTTCTACTTCGTTATCTTCAAGCTCATGATCATCTTCTGGAACAGGGGCATGGACAGAGATCACACCAGGACTCTCTGCTTCCTGATTGTCATTAAGGAAAGCATGTCTCATCAAATACTACGTCGCGTGAGACAAAAACCTCCTTGTTCTCTAGATCATACACTTGCCAGCCTTTCTTGCCATAGGGGTAACCAAGGAAAATACATTTTCTGCTCCTTGCGCCAAATTTGTCTTTGTCCCTGGTGTATCGATGAGCAAAGCAGAGACATCCAAACGTTTTGATGATTTGATAGGACGGTGGTTCGTTGTAAAGACATTCGTAGGGTGTCTTCCCCTTCAACACCTTCGAAGGGGTCCTGTTGATTACGTGAGCGGCTGCTAGGACACTCTCTCCCCAAAAACGTGTTGGAAGGTTCGCTTGGAACAAGAGAGACCGTGCCACATTAAGTATGTGTCTGTGCTTTCGCTCGACTCTGCCATTTTGTTGAGGCGTTGCTACGCATGATGTTTGGTGGATAATTCCATTCTCACTGAAGTATCGAGACATGCACAAGAATTCAGAACCATTGTTCGATCGAACAATCTTTACCATCTTGCCAAATTGACGTTGAACAAGTGCATAGAAATTTGGTAACACTGTTTTAACTTCACTTTTCTCAAGCAATAAGTAGATCCATACGGCTCGAGAGAAATCGTCAACAATTGTGAGAAAATACTTAGCACCACACGAAGATGGGATCCGATAAGGTCCCCATAAGTCACAGTGAATCAAACCAAAACTTTCCAATGCTTTATTAGAACTATCATAAAAAATCTCACGAGTTTGTTTCGACTTAAAACAAACTTAACAACCACCAAATTTCTCAGTAATGTTTTGAACACCAGCAATAAAAGGTAAAAAACCAGAACACCAAATGCAGGATGACCCAGTCGCCTATGCCACAAAGTATGATCCTCAGCTGCTTTCACACGATGACTTCTGGCTACTGTGACGTCCCGATACACATACACACCATTACGAACCTCACCGGCTCCAATCAGGGTCCTCGTAAAACGGTCCTGCAAAATGCACAACGTGTCAGTAAACATAGCAAAACATCCAGTCTGCTTAAGTATTTTTGCGACAGAGAGCAGTGTGCAATTCAGGTTGGGGACAAACAACACGTTCTCGAGTGTTAGTCTTTTGGATAACTTAATACTACCACGTTTAGTAGCGTATACAATGCTTCCATCAGCAAAAGAAATAGGACAGGGAGGAATAGTGTTAATCGACTCAAGGATATACAAGTCGCCAGTCATGTGGTGTGAGGCCCCTGAGTCGAGAATCACTTCCCATGTTTGAACTTTACCATTAAGACGATCAGGAATGGGTGTCGTTTTCTGTTGCTCGAGGAGTTGAGTCAGCGAAGCCCATTGTTCTGATGTGAAGTTTGGAAACGTTGAAGCAGAGGATGCTGAAGCTTGAGCTGCATTGGATCGTGATTGTTGCGGAGAGAAACTTCCTCTACCACGTCCACGGCCCTGAAAACCTCCTCTCCCTCGATTGTTTCCTTTGTTACCCTGATTCTTTTCCAACCACCAATCTGGAAATCCCACCAGTTGCCAACACTCTTTCTTGTCATGACCACTACGTCCACAATGTGAACATACCACTGCTTGTCGGTTTGTCACCACAGGTGCATTGAAACCGCTTTCAACCTGAGAAACTGTCTCTGTTTTGGCACTGAATCCGACTACTTCTTGTTTTGTTTGAGATGTAGACAACCGTCTTTCTTCTCTCACCACTCGCTGATACACATTGTTAAGATCCGGAAGTGGTTCCATTGAGATTATGTTTGTCACCACGTTCCCGAACCGAGCTTCATCTAAGCCCATAAGAAACTGATGAACACTTCCTTCTTCGTGTTCCTTGACGATCTGATCCATTGCAGAGCAGGTGCACTTGGGTAGAGGCTTGTACGTGAGTAGTTCTTCCCACTTTGCTGACAACTTGCCGAAGTAATCAAGAACACTCATACCTTCTTGCTTACACGCAGACAACTCAGCACGTAGTTGATGAGTTCTAACCGCGTTACCAATAGAGAAACGTTCACGAACCTGTTCCCACAACTTGTGAGCATCCGATGTAAAAGTTACAGTGGAACGGATTTTAGGCGAGATTGACGTCCTTATCCATCCCACAACCATGGAATTCACTGTGTTCCATGTTTCCAAGTCACTGGATCCTTCGTTAGGCTTTTGCAGCGTACTGTCGATGAATCCGAACTTCCTCTTCGCACGAAGAGCATTCTCCAACTCGGAGGACCACTCAGCGTAATTCTCACCGGTGATCTGTACCGGAGAGATGGCGACGCCAGGATTATCTGATGATGCAAGATCATAAGGAGAATACACTCTCAGAGCTTTGACTATAGCACCAGATGTTTCCGTCATGATCGCAGTTGAAGATACTTTCTTCTTTTTGTGTTTGTAAAATTTAAAGTAACTCTGATACCATGTAAAGTATGCAGAAGCTTAGGGTAAAACTGTATGTTCATTACGTCTCTGGCAATCGCCTTATATACATGAATACATAATCAAGATATACTTGGGAGAATATCCTAATAACTATACATCATTATCTTCACAATATTATGACTTATCTATATCTTCTATATCTTATCTCAACAGTTGCTGTTGAAGAGGGAAATCAGTAATATGGTGTTTGGTCTGGTTTGGTGGTGTGGTTTAAGAAGCTTGTCTTGTGTTTGTGGTCTGGATGTAGAGTAATCTTCTGCTTTCTCTTGTGTTATCTTTCTTTTAAGTGTGACTTCTGTTTCTTTCTAAGTATCTGGTTTCAACTATAATATAAATATTAAAAGAAGCTTATTGATCTTGTGAAGTTAAATTTGTTGTTGATGTTTTTGTTGATTCATTTTGATTTGTGGTGTCTGCATTTAACACCTTTTTGGAACCAAAAAAAGTGGCCCAAGTTATTATGTGAGTTCACATTATAACTTCTTTGGTTAATGCAACTTCCATGTAACGAATGCAACTTGTTTGGTCAATGTAGACATTTTACAGTTTTTGATCAAATGCCATCTAAATTTATTTTAAATCTTAGCAATTTAGCATAATTAAAACAAGAAAACATATAATATCTATTTTCAATATTAGTTCGTTTATAATTTAATAATGTAAACTTCAGTTTATAAGTTATTTATTTTTAAATCGATATATAGACATTATATATATTCAAAATTAATATAATAAATTAAAATAAAATTTGTATAAGAAAGTCCGGACGTAGTCCGGAAAAACTACTAATTAATACAATAACAAGGGATGTAACAATTTTGTTTTACATAAACATTTATTATACAAAAATATTTGTATTATATGTATTTTTTTATCAAATTTTTATTATACATATAAATAGGGTACAATACATATAAAAAGACAAAAAATTCTTCGCCGCGTATTCTTGAGTACTCTCCGATTTTTCGGTGACTCACTAGGCTTAGGCTTGCCATCCGAGTAGCGCCTAGCGTAGCTTCGGACATGGATTATATCTAACACTGACCATGTTCTATTTTTCTATAACAAAAACAGTTACTTTTCTTCCTGTATAAACTAGTTGGATTATTGATTTTTATCCTACACATTATTTCTCATATCCATCATTTCAAAGACGGATCAAAATCTAGTTAGTAATGTGACATATACACTTATACTCTCAATGTTTACTAATTTAGATTTAGAATTTAGATTCAGTGTAAGATATATGATTAAAAAAAAAACAAAAACAAATAGTTTCGTTTTTTGTAGATTTTGAAAAACAAAAAAAAATACAAATTCGAATAAAAATGAATTTAAAAACATATTATCTTATATAATAAAATTAAAAATGGACTATATAAAAACAAGAGCTAAAATATAAAATTTTGAAAAAACAAAATGATAATTTATTAAGAGTAATAACAATTTTAACTATTCTAACTAGCAAGTCCAATCTTAGGGAATTAAAAAAAATTGGGCCCAATTGAAACCCAGAGATAGATGGAGTATATCAATATCTCTATATAGAGGGACAACCATAAGTCGAAAAAGAGGAAAAAAAAAAGAAAAAAAAAGCATCAGTAGCGGCGCAACGATGGTTGCTTTCTTGTCTGGGTATCCAATGAAGGAGGTTGAGCGCCGTAAGAGGATCTATATGAAACAAGTGAATGAATCCGAGGTAATATTCTTTAACTGTTGTTTCTATGCTTCTAGGGGTTGGTTACATGACTAGCTAATTAATGGGTCGTCTGTCGCCATAGGGGTTCGATGTCAGTGGTCTTCCAGTACCAGACTTTGCTCCTGGACTAATTGAACACATCTGTAATGATACTTGTTCCCCTTTAATCCTCCTTTATGCTCAGTTAGGCCTTCATCGTTACAATTTGGTCCAGGTATTATAATCATACATTATTTATTTTTTATATACAGTAAAACCTCGATAAATTAATATACACTAAATATCTCTATAAATAATATAATTTTATAGTCTCAAATTGAGTTTTTGGTTCGTATCCGTAAATTAATATATCTCTAAATTAATAAAAAAAATAAAATTTTTTTGGTGTAGTCCTGACATTATTAATTTAGTATATGCTATTAGCCCAATCAATTTATTTCTTTATTTCTTGATCAATTAGGGGAAGAACTTACAGCTCAGTAGCGTTAGGAAATACAACGAGTCCATGGGTTCTGCTGCTTCCTCTTACTACATAACTTTGGTAGCTATTGATCCAGCTACCCAGTTGCTTCAAACCTTTCAGACTAGAGTTGATGAACTACGCTATGGCGAATTTGTTTTGGATTGCTCTATTGCTAGACCTCTTGGTATTTTTTTTTTTTGGGTGGTAAAACAAGTCTATCACATTATTGCTGATTTTGAGCTTTATAGGCTGTGAAATCAAGAAAAGTAGTGAGTGGCCGCCCAAACCTGTGGAAGACTTGCTTCATACCTTTCCTGAGTGGCCGCCAAAGAATCCTTTTAAGAAGTCAAAGAGATGTTACGTTGTGAGAGGCTATCCCAACCCTTGCTTGCATTGCAAGTTTGCCTTTTTGTTTTCGTGACTATTATATGTTTTTACTTGCAGCTGAAGAAATCAGAGTTGCGAGAGAATGATGATTGGATTCGTCTATACTTGGAACTCGCAGTTGCCGCGTCGAATAGGGACACCCTTGAGAACCATCTTGTGTCCAACTTGAAGATTGTCAAAGTAGCTATCGATACTACTAGTACCCAAGAGGGACTCGACTTATTTGCAATTGTCTACATAAGATACAAGGACTCGTGCAAGGCTCGAGTTGGTAAGGATGTTGATCGCGTAGCTGTAGTCAGAAGATTCTTCAGTGAGGGCATGGGAGCCTTCAGTCTAGTGGGCCAAAACCTGGGTATTATACACAAAAAGAGTAACAAACAACTTTTGCGTTTCAAACCGTGGCTGTTATATACTCCTAGGCGGCGGCTCAAGGCATACAGACACAGTGGCCTTACCTTGACTCGTCGTGTGCCCAAGACGAGATCCTTGGAGTTTTTCTTGAGCCGATGCACGTTCAGAGATGATTTTACCAAAAAAGGAAAAGAGTGCGAAACTGTCCTCTAAGTACAGTGGCCCCTGTCTTCAGATAATAATAATAATAATAATAAAGTTGGTGTATTAAGTGGGATTGCTTTTTTTTTTTTATGTGTGGCTTCTGCTGGAATAATTTAACAACACAAGCAAGAATGGGAGACATTCTTGTGGCTGTCAGACGGTCTAATTTTCCTTTTTCATTTCTATTTGCAAATTGTATCGAACTAGTATATGCATTCCTTGTTAATTATTTGTTTTGGATACATATTGGTCGTTTTAAGTAAACTCTTTTATTTTGTCAGGGAGAGACTGCACAACAACAGAGCAACCAAATGAGTAAAACAACTAACCATGTTTGTTTCAGTTAGTTTATGCTTATAACTACTTAAACTCTCTCTCTCCTTTGATGTCTATTCCACTTCATTAATATTTCAAGAGTTGTAATAATTAAAATATAGTTTTCTCATCATATTAAAAGTTTAGATCAGGAGGTTAGCCGCAGAGACTTTTCTTGCTGACTTTCCGTCCAACCCTCACTCTCTTCTGCTCCCAAAAAGACACTATTACCGTGTACTTAACAAGGAGACAGAATCATTATAATTTTGACGATTTTGAATTTTGATCATGATGATATTGTATCCCAGTTGGCAATACACGTTTGGTCATTCTCTGGTTTGTGTTACTTGTAGAACAACAAAGAGCAGCGAAGAAACTAGTCTTTATGTACTTGTCTCACTCATCAAACTGTCTTGGTATCATGAGTTAAAATGGTTCGTGATTATTACAATGCACTCAATGACTTGAGGAAACTTTGATGCCAAATTCATTGCAAGCACCCACAACAACCTCCTGGGCTTTGTGTTGTTCCCATGCTGCAGTAAAGCGACCAGCATCCTTTCCAGAATCAGAATATCCAACAATCACCTGCACACATATGTTATGTTTTCAAGGCTCTTAAGATACAACTGGCGCATCCTCCAAAGATGGATTTGGTTGAAATTAAGTATATATCTACCTCTTGGTGTCCACTGTGGTTCTTTTCCATGTGTTCTCTGTACCATTCAATTGATAGTAACTTCCTTATCACCGAGCCAGCGCCTCTTAGATCCTTCACCGTTTCAAAAAGAGGAACCACTCGCAGTCTATCATGTAGCAAAAACAAATCAGCATATCAACTACTTATGTCATCAACATGTAAGACACAGCCACAACCGTTCATGAAACTAGGTAGACATGCAAAATGATAAAGAATCTAGTGTTCCTGCGAGAAATTACACTCACGTTCCAGCAGGACATGGTCTTCCCAGCTCACCACTGACGGCAAGACGGGCATCTTTCTGTACAAGTTCCACAGCTAGGACATCACTTGCCTACAAGCAAGTAGCAACAAAAATTAATGCCATGCGGATACAAAATAGTTACTTGTAGACATTGGCCTCAGCAAAGAGGTGACGGTAAAAGACTCAAATCTATCATACGTTTGAAGCCATGGAAATCACGTAAGCTCCCAGTGATTCACTTCCTAACTCAGCAGCAACTCGGAAAGTGTCTAGCACTTCTTTTACTTCAGGACCGACCTGCAACAGTTCAGTGATTTTGATGACTGCGTTGCAAACATAACGTACAGGAGATCACTTTTGTATCATACTGGGTTTCCTTGAAGTAAACGCATAAACATTCAAGTTATTGATTACTCCATTTGGTCTTGCAATAAGATAAGTTGCAAGTTGAACATAAAAAGAAACCCACGGTGAGATCTCGCTGACCTCAATATTTGGGGGAGCAAGAGGACGTCTCCCTTTCAGTTCTCTTGTCAAAAACACGAGCTTCTTCTCTTCATCCCATTCACTATATGTTCCCATGTCCAAGTATGTTGTAATAACATCCAAAGCTTCGGAATGCTTTGCAGCTTCCTGGATCAATAATTCTTAGATCGGACAGAAATAACAGAATAGGAGCCAAAACAAGAAGCAATAAAGAAATATCACCTGTCGTAAATCAAGTTTCATCAAAACCATGCCGAAGGTAGCAACTCTACGGATCAAATCAGCAAGCCGGCCATCAGCTAGAACTTCGGAATCAGATGAATGCTGAGAAAATAGTAATTTAAGTAAGGTAAAGATATTTAATGGGCAATAAATTTGCATGGAGCAAGATCCTACCAGAGATTCATAGCAGACAAGTAGTGGTTCCAAAAGTTGGTCTGGTGTTTCATAGTAATCCCAAGGATCATATTCACAAGGAAGACCCTCAAGAAGAAGTTCCAGAAGCCTTCTTGTCTTCAAAAGCTGTAATCACAGATCATTACAAGTGAGTGGCTTTAAGCGAGAATATACAGTTTATCAATATGGTTATAAATTTCTGATATTGACAATATTAGCAAATAAGTTAAGCAGTAGTTAAGCAGTAGCTAAAGATAAATGCCTAAGTTATCTCCCTAACCTTATAAACGAAATAAAATTATTAGATGCAACGATTCAACAGAGAAATTCTAAGTACGATATTGTGGAAGAGAGTACCAGATCCTCAATGACCGTTTCTCGATCTCCAAATCCAAGGTCTGGTCTGTCGTTATATTCTAGAAGATGCTGCAAAATGTACAAGACCATAAACCTAAAATTGCTAGCAAACATGTATATATCAATCAATTTGCAGCATTACTAATAACTTACAGCCATTCTGATATGTTTGTGCTGCAAGATTCTCTGGTTTACTTGAGTGGGGTGTGCGGTAAGATCAATTTCAACCCCCTGCATTGGACACATTAGTTAGAAAAGAAGTACCAGACTAAATTCAAGCGAAATGACTTTAATTAGCATTGAAGTGATAATCTTTCAACTCAATCTTGCAGTTACAAGTTAGCAATGTATCAGAAATATCGAAACAGGATAAAATAACTGTCACTGATGAAAGAGTGACAGAGAGTATAACAGTGATGTATAACCTGCTTGCAAACTGTGTCATAAAGCTCATCCGGGGATACACCACTTTGCAATAGGTTACTACTGAATACATCGTTGCATGATCTTGAAAGCTGTGGAAGGTTACGGACTCTACGAACTCTGAAAACAAGAAACATTTTGCCTAATTGATATAGCAAATCTTTTTCAAACACACAAAATTCTCCAAGTATCCACACTTCATATTGTTATAACGACTAAAACATTTCATTTCATGTTAACATGTGCATGTCAACTATGGTTAACCTGTGATGAGTTTCGGCAATTCCCATCAAGTTAAGAACATGGCTGAAGGCACGAGCCAGCGTCAGTGCTTTCTCCAGTGACATGTTTGATATTTCAGAAGTCAGCTGCGTCTCCAAATGCTCCGCCGTGTCTTCAATACCAGCCAGACGAAGATTTAACGCACTCTGAAAGGTAAATTACAAACCAAAATAGTATCATCACAGTGCTTTTTACTCTTTACATTATTATATGCAGTTAACAACACTTGATCGCAAGATTCAAGAATCCAGTCACCAACTAGGAAATAAGATCTAACGCATAATCCAGATCTAAAACGAATCCATCCAGAAAGCTACAAAACGAACAGTATTTTTCAAACGTTCTTGATCCAAGAGGATTCTCAACGGTGCAAAACAAACACAAATACGAAATACTGAAAAGCAACCAAGCACGTTTCCTAAACTGCAAGCAAGAACATTAGGCCATTCATCTGGTGAAACACTTCAATGAGTAAGCCAGGAATAAGAAAACAGTTACCTTGCAATTGTTCTCCGATGACTCACTACTATCAGTTGTTGTTTGTTTAAGGATGACCTTAAACTTCTTGTAGTTTCTCTTTTTGCGGTTGGGCATCTCTTTGAACTGTAATCCCAGCGGACCTGTTTCCATTCCTATGGAGAAGAAATCACTGAGGAGATATTGAGGTTTTTTGAAGCAGAATATGCCGTCATCTTTACCGGCAAGGAGAAACATCACTTCAAGGGAAACATATATGTATCCCGAAACTCCATCACGCCCACCATTGCTACTTTTGCAACGTATGACCATTTCACCATCCACTAGCAAGCAGTCGAGCATCAACACCTCGTGTTCACCCTTGTATTCAGCTCCTTTCTTAATAGGGCCTCTATATATCCTGTCACTCTTCCATCCATCGAATAACGTCAGTTTTGCAGCAACAGGATGACTCTTAAGGCGTACCAAGGCTTGTTCCATTGTTTCATATTTAAAAACATCGGTGATGTGGTACATCTTCTCCCCCGGATCAGATGCCCGTTTGACATTGCAGTTAAAGACCGGATCCATCTCTTTGGGAATCCCAGAATCCTGCACATACGCCAACCCATCTTCCAAAGACAGACCATAGCAGCTATGGACTGTGATATTCCTTAAATCTGCGCCTTCTTTTAATTCTTTTCCATACAAGTCCGGACGCACATTCTCGTACAAGTATCTTGGACACAACGGTGTAAATTCCTTCTCCCAGCCGTGAAGCACCAAAGAAGCACTTACCATGTCGCATAAGGAATACGCCCAACACAGACCATGAAATAACTGATCTCGAATGGAGCCGGCAACCACTGTCCGCCTCTCCATTTGTCTTTTCTTGGCTATATGCTTTCGATCTAGAGGCCTTGGCTTCCAGAACAAATGCAATCGGCCTTTAGTATCAGAAATACCTATTTTACCTTGGGGCTTTGATTCCTTTAGTAGGTCAAATCTCTCCTTACTGAGACACATCTCTGCATAGTAAAGAGAAATTCGGGACGGCAGGGTAGGCGGCAGGGGAGTATTGTTGGCTATATTGTCGGGATGGCAGGCTAATAATATGGCCAGAATTTCAGACCTTTTTGGGCATCGGGTATTACCTCTGTATCCTTCTGTATCAGTATCGGATGAATCTTTTTCTGCCCCAAAGGAACTTGATGAAACTGATCTGAGATGAGCACTTTTCCATGCACGCTCTTCACACTGATCGTCTATTCCTTTCTTGCTGTTTTCATCATCATCATCGTCGTAATCATCATCCCCGGAGGTGTCACCTTCTTCTCCAGAAGAATAGATGGGAAAATCATCGCACAGAAGTGAGTATTCGTTGTTGCTGGCTATGGTTTCAGTAACCTTGTCGTCCTTGATAATGTCCCTGCAGTGCCTGATCATGGCTTCAATGTACTCAGACAGATTATCAGCAGTCAGCTGAATATTCATATTCTCTTGTTCCAGCTTCTCCTTGACGCCAACAATGTATTTGCCTTCAGCTTCTTTTGATGCTAACTCAAGCCTCACCTTCTCAATTTGGAAGTTCAAATTCTCAATGTTGAGTTTTTCTTTGGCTATAGTTGCTTCAGAATTTTTTATCATAGCATCTGCCATAAAGAAGAAAAAGCAAGAGCATTTCATTTAAATACCAATACTATCATATAGCAAGCTAAAAATTCTCTATCATGTTTCCATCTAAACTTCTGAAACATTGAATTTTTCAGCAAGTTTGGTGCGTGGGACATGCTTAAGCCGCTACATCAGACAATACATGTGGTCTACAGTCTACTACATGTGAGAATTGACATTGTGAATATATAAGAAGAGTGAAAATTTACCTTTCTCGTTTGAGAAACTGGAAGTTCTACACTGTTCATTTTGGTAAGATTTTTCTTTCTGTCCTTTCTCGAGTTGTAGCTCTTCTAGTTCCTTCTCTTCTGCATGGTTGACTAATTAAATGTTACAGAAGTGTATATCAAACAGAAGAACGGTAGATAACTTTTGATAAACCATCTTGCAGCAATACAATCACTTTCAAAAAAACATGTCTGAGATAAACAACAACTTACGGCTTTTGATGTTTTCTTCAGAAGCACTCAGTTTTACAGATAGATCTTTCATTTGCTGCTTCAAAGAGTTAATCGCGTCCACACTAGTAGAGAACTTGAACTCAAAACGCTCCTTGTCCTTCACCGCTGTAGAGTAAACACAAATAAAGCAACAGTACAGCATAAGTAACTTCAAGTATATAACAACCAATGTGCATCAACTATATACCTTGTTGAATCTGAGAAGCCAAGTGCTTCAGAGTCTCAGTAAGTTGATCACACAGAGACTTAGTCGAAGGACTCCATCCCTCTCCGAAGCTTTTCATCCTCTCCCCATGGGCGGGCTTAGCATTCTCATCGAAAGCATTCTGCAGTTTCTCCTTGAAAGCAAGTATTTGATCCAGTGATTTTGTCAGCTTCGAGCGCTGCATCACGGGAAGAGATTGTCAGATACAACGAAGTTAACAAGAACTTAAACAGAGATCTATAACTGCAAGCAGAAACACAAGTTCGTACCGCTAATCGGAGATCGGATTTCATGGACGCTTGCTCCTTCACAAATTTCTCTGGAAAACAACACCGCATATCATCAGAACACTGCGATTTCAGAAAAATCTGGACGAAATCCGCGAAACCAAATACAGAAAAGCAAACCTGCAGTGAACTTGGGGGAAGAAACAGAATCGCGAGGTTCTGATTCAGCCATCGATGAATCTGATCGAAGCTTTTCACCCTTGGAAACCCTAGCTTCTGCCTTCGCGAACAAAAATCGTAACCGTCTCTTTCTTTCTTTCTTTCTTTCTTTCTTTTTTTTCCCGCGCTCTCTACTTTCTCTCTCTCTCTCTTGTGATAAAATGATACTTGGGGAATTAGGAGGATGATGCACACGGAATCTGATGTAAACACGTCATCAGCGTTTCTCTATTTTAAATAAATATCTATATTTAAATATATATACAACAAACAGTTCTCAATATCTCATGTAAAAATCATAGGCAAGTGTTATAAAAAAAAAGCAAGTGTTATAAAAAAAAAAAATCATAGGCATTTCATATATTTATTTATATAATATAATAATTATTCTATGATAACATAAGAAAAAATTATCATAAATATAAACACACAAGATACAAAATAACCGAAATGTTTCCTTAAATAGATAAATAAACACTTATATCAGTAGAACTAGGGTGTTGAAGCTGTTAGTAACATGCGAGAAATGATTCTTGAATCAAATACACTAATTATCCAAAGAAACTTAAAAATGAATTTGAAAACAAATGGAAGCTTCTGTTATGAACTTATAAGTCCTGTTCTTTTTGCGTTTTGATAACCATTTTTATATGTATAGACTTAATCCTTAAACCCAAAGTTTGAGCAAAAATCATGGTTAAATGACTTAAAAGTTCAAATCCTATGATGTATCTTCAGTCGTAGGCAGTAGGATGTACTATAAAGTAAAATAGATGACATTAGGGTGTTTTTGTATATACTATCATAAAACCAACTGTTTAATGACTTTAAAAGCTAGATCCATTAACTAGTAGGATCATCTAAAGTAAACTAAATCCTAGGATTCTTTTCTTTTTGCATCTTCTTTGATCTTTGTGATGGCTATGAAACCAAAGTTTAGCCTAAAACTTCTCACTGATGAGGAGCAAAACAGAGTTGTTTTGGCTGAGTCTTGTAAAGATTTTGCTGATGTACTCTGCAGTCTTCTGACTCTTCCTATGGGAACCATTGTCAGGTTGCTGGAGAAGCATCAGAATCCTCAGTCTTCTTCAATCGTAGGTTGCTTTCACAACCTTTACAAAAGTGTTTCAGACATGGAAATTGATAATTTCAAGACTCCAGGTTGTAAAAACTTGTTGCTGTATCCAAGGAGTATGAAGGAGAGTCACTGCAGGAAGCTAAAGCTGAATGTGGATGACACTGAGGCGACCAAGTTCTTTGTCTGTCCAAATTTTGTGTCTGTTGAGTCTTGCTGTAAGGTTTACAGTAATGTAAGTACGTCAAAATGTAGTTGTGGAAACTCAATGACCCGCGAGTTTCATGTTGAAGATGGAGAGCAAGCTGACAATGGAGTGTTTCTCAGCTGCAGAACGTCTTATATCATTACAGACGATATGAAAGTGGCAGTAAACTCTATGGGAATTGTACTGAATGTTCTCAATGGTCTTGGCTATTCTGGTTTTGATAAACTTCAAGAAATGGTTATTGATATTGGTTTTGAAGAGGTAACTGGATCCCTCATTGTCATTTCATCTTTTAAATCATATTCTTGGATCTTATACTGATTGCTTACACGTAGGTGCTGACACTTCTAGGGTGTTTATTCACCTCGGAAGCTCCATTAACAGACACATTCTTGAGGAAACGTTGTATTGCAAGGAAGAGTAAAGTCTTGACACCACTTGTGCAAGAAACTAGAGTTGCAGGAGAAGTTAATGATGTTCTAACTTTGAAAGTTTATGTTAGAAAGTCAGATAATACGATTCTTTATGCTGAATGCAGAGAAGACTTTGTTGATTTTCTTTTCACATTTCTTGTTATACCACTTGAGTTTGCTTGGGAACTCTCTGTTGATAATATCAATATGGGATGCGTTGGGAATCTATGTAGAAGCGTGAAAGAGTTAAGCTTTGAGCAGAGTAAAGAAGCCATGCTTCCTTATTACTACAGTTGTCGTACACAGCTTCTTGATCTTGTCATCCAAGAAACGCCAGAGTATGAGTGCTTGGTCTCTCGTCGCAGTTATAACAGTAGCAGGCTCTCAAAGAACATCAAGAAGAGTGTTCTTGCAGATGGTGAGAGAGTTGCTAAGTTAACTCCAATAACTTCAGATTCTGCTAGTATTGGACTTGTTAAAGGAGAGACTAACTTCATAGTGTCAGATGATCTGGTAATCACTGCGATGAACTCATCTTCAACGATCTCATTGCTAAGCAAGTTGCAGATGAATATTAGTGATATTGAGGAGCAAGTGATTAGCATTGGCAAAGCTCAAGTATGATACCTCTCTTTACTTCTTTTTTACACTTTTTTGATTTGTAAGAAAAATCTTGAATTAGACTTGTGTTTCAGGCCATCAGTTTGCTGAGAGCTTCTTTGATTACAACCTCTGCGTTATCAAATGGTCTCTCCAGCTACCTCTCAAAGATGAAGCTAAAAGAAGCCTCTCCATCAACTTTAAAGATTCCAAAATCTGAAAAGATTCTTTGAAACAAAAAGGCCTTTGTTAATCTGCAACCTAACTTTTTCAGTTTAAGTTTGTGATTTTGCATTACTGATCAAGTTGTTATTTCTTTTGCTTCTATGTTACTGATCAAGTTGTTATCAAAGCAATGGATTACTTGAGTTAGATGTTCAGGGTCTTTTCATTGGCATTCATCAATCCTTTGGAAGTTGAAATGTGACTATTTACTAACTATAAACCGTTTAAACAAAGAACAAACAAATTCCGTTGTAGTCTAGCTGGTCAGGATACTCGGCTCTCACCCGAGAGACCCGGGTTCGAGTCCCGGCAACGGAGTTCTTTTTGTGATTTGTTTCCATTTTTGTCCTGTTAAATTCGAAAATTCTTGAAACTCTGAGCTCCTCCATCCATGTTCGGAGCACGTCTCACGATATTCTGATAATTAAACATTTCCAAACTTTTTACGTCATCTACTCATATATTTACTCATGTTTCATTTTTCATTTAGACAATACAGGAAAAAGACAATAAACGAAGTTGTCCGAATTTCTTTTGCCAATAATTAAAGTTTTTTGGTTTACAGTTAGGGATCATAATAATTTTATTTTCTCAACAACATTACATCTTTGTATTTAATCCTCATGAAAAATGTGTAAGCTTACTTTATTTATTATCAACAGATTATTTAGCATTGGGTTTTCTCCTCTTTTTTTCTGTTCACCAATAAATAAATTTAAGCTTCCACTGACCACTATATATACTAAAACTTGTCGTCGGATTCCTTCTCTCTCCTCCTTTCAGCAACTACCATCTTCTCTCTCTAGGGTTTCGATTTCAACTTTTTCCCCCACTGAACCCGCGATCGAAACTGTAATCCTTCTCCCTCTCTCCCCATCTCCGTGTGATTCCCTCGGCATCATCGAAGCTCCCTCGTTTTCAAAGTACTCTCGATGTCGATTCCGAAACTTTAATTTCGTTAGGTGATGATTCTTCACACTTGTTGTTAGCTAGTCACTGATTTCTCGGTACGATGTTTCCGATAAGAGTACGAATTTGAAATGTCCGGCTTAGATTTCGTTGATTCGTGACTTCTAGGGTTCGAGAAAAGTTCAGTGAATGAGACGGAGTTTTTGTGGATCTCTTGAATCTTATTTGCTCAATTTTAGAATTAATTTTGTGTATTTGCTTATGTTTTGCTTCTCTCTTGACTTTAGATATGGCTTAAGGTAGCTTCGTGAAGAGAAAGGATGTGTTAGTTCATTTGCTCTTGAATGGTTGCTACGATGGACTTAAACGCTTCACCACAACCTGAAGAAGACGACGAACCTTACGTGAGACATCTTGAAGAGTATTCGTCGCGTGATGACAGGGTAGAGTCTGCCGTCGAAATAGCAAGACGGGTAGTTACAACTAACTAAATTCATAGTTCTTGCGGCATTTATAAGAGTTTGTTACAACATTAATCTGTTAGTTTCCCTTATAATGAGGATGGATTATGATTTTCTTTTCAGGAACGTGATGAGAGAAGGAAACGAATGAGATATGACAAGCCAATGCATAACTCTCAGCCAGCTTACCGTGATCAATATTACCAGAATCGGAATACTAAAGCTTATGATAGATACAAGATTCCTCAAGGTGATATAATAATTAGCCGAGTTGTTTCTTATCATTTTTGTGGATGTTATTTACTCCCATACTATAAACGGCTTTCTGAAACGTTTTGGCTAGTGTATTTGTCTTTTTCCTGTTTAGGCTAATGCTTTAAATAGGGTGACTCTTTGACAGCCTGTCCAATATCACAGGTTGGCTTGACTGCCCGCCTTCTGGGCATGAGATAGGATTCCTCGTTCCTTCGAAAGTTCCTCTGAATGAAGCTTATAATAATCATGTGCCTCCTGGAAGTAGATACTCTTTTAAGCAGGTGGTTCATAGCCAGAGGATAGCTGGGAGAAAGGTAATTTGTTGAATCTGTTTGTCGTTACTTTGTTGAATATATGTGTATGTATCATTTGTTTATTTAGCACTAGTATGTCTAACTTAGTGTGTAATGTTACTATCCATTTCAGCTTGGTCTAGTGATCGATTTGACCAATACAACTCGTTACTATTCTACGACAGACTTAAAGAAGGAAGGCATTAAGCATGTTAAGGTAATTGGAAAACATATGCCGATATTCTTTGCGAGAGCTGTAGCAGTTTTCTTTATCTTCAGTATTCTTTGGTTGTAGATTGCATGTAAGGGTCGTGATTCAGTGCCAGATAATGTATCTGTCAACACGTTTGTCAATGAGGTATATGTTTATCTGTAGTCATGTGGTATTTCATTTTCTCGTGATGCTCTTTATAAAAGTAAGCTTGTCTACTGGTAGTAGCTCACTTAATAAAACTTTTTCAGGTTAATCAGTTCATCCTAAATCTAAAACACTCAAAGAAGTATATTCTCGTTCACTGTACACATGGGCATAATCGGACAGGTTTTATGATAGTTCATTATCTTATGCGATCTGGGCCGATGAATGTTACACAGGTCAGTTTTCATTAATGTCATCTGTGCATTTTATGTACCTCGTAGCAGTAAATAATCTTATTGTATGATGGTTTTTTCAGGCATTAAAAATCTTTTCCGATGCCCGCCCCCCTGGGATCTATAAACCGGACTATATTGATGCTTTATACTCGTTTTATCACGAAATAAAACCTGAGAGTGTTATTTGCCCATCAACTCCGGAATGGAAGAGGTCTACCGAGCTTGATTTAAATGGTGAAGCTTTACCAGATGATGATGATGATGATGGCGGTCCGGCTGGTCCTGTGCAAGTAATCCCCTTTCAAACTAATGATCGTATATTGTGCTGATCACATATATACAGACACTGTCATTCCATGGTATTCTTGCACGTTTTCTCAAGCGTCAGACTTGCCGTTTTCAATTTTAGTTAGAGAAACCATGAGAACGGCTTATTACAGAATTTCAGCTTTAGGATCATTATATCTATGTCCTTTGCCCATTTATTTGTAATCTTTGAAAACCTTGGTTATCTAAAGAAAGAATACCTCTGACATGGGGTTAGTTAGGATTTTTGAAGCTGCCATCAATCATTTATTAATTTTTATCTAGCAGCTAGTTTCTGGTGCATATTTATGGGTTCAGTTGAGACTATCCAAGGCTGAGAAGCTCATGAAGTGCTCATCTGGTTTGCATGCTTTTTTGGTGGTTATTTGCTATATATATTTTGTTTACTGGCTTACTGTTTCAGGAGGAACCCCCTCAGGTGGAAGTCAAGATGTCAAATGATGACGTTTTGGGAGATGAAATACCCCCTGACCAGGAGGAAGGTTACCGGCATTTCTTTTATAGGATGCTATCGCTGAATATTGGGGTAGGGATCTTGAAATCTATTATGTTATATCTTCATTGTTTTTCATTGGCGCAGTCTAGTGCTTGTTGAATTTATTTTTCTCTGCTTTAGGGAAGAGGATGTTCGCAATTTCCAGGTTCACACCCTGTATCCTTAAACAGGTATTACTAATTGCGTTATTGTTTGACCATGTCTTCGAGTCAATTAGTCCATATCGTTTGCAGGTCTTAGTTTTCTAATTTACTTGTTCTAATACAGGGATAATTTGCAACTCTTGAGGCAGCGATACTATTATGCAACATGGAAGGCTGATGGAACACGGTACATGATGCTGCTAACCATGGATGGATGTTATTTAGTAGATAGGAGCTTTAGATTCCGGAGGGTACAAATGCGGTTCCCCTTCAAGCACCCAACTGAAGTTAGTGATTTTCCATCTAAATCGTGTATTAATATATACTACAAATCTTATGTTTTCTCTTACCTATTTTTCTTACCAGGGCATATCTGATAAAGTGCATCACTACACATTGCTTGATGGGGAAATGATTATCGATACCTTGCCAGATAAACAAAGGCAGGAGAGGAGATACCTAATCTATGATATGGTAGCAATCAACGGCCAATCAGTTGTAGAGGTTAGAAATTCATTGTTTTTTTCTGTGATCGTTAATGCTTGGATTGGTTCCCGTGTTTTACATTTGGTTCAAAGGGATCTCATGCTCTTTAGCTCAGGATCGAAGTATGTATTGACGCGCGTCGTAAACAATGCAGCTGCCATTACCCTCATAATAGAATAGTGTAGAAACCAAGCAGTATTTAGATCAGGCTTTAGTGTGACTCTTTGAATGTATATTGTTTTCATGTCTGATATGTTTTATGATGCGATAAATTCTCTGGGAAGTATGAACATATATGATCCCTATGCTCATACTGAGCATCTGATACCAATGGCTTACTTTAGTTTATGCAACACTTGAGACACAATTTTTGGTGGCTGTCGCAGAGAGTAAGCCTTGACATAATCTGTTTATCATCATTCACAGGCTGTCATTAGTATAAAGTATTCTTGAGCTGTGTTTGGCTTGCTGTATTACGTACCATTTGCTTAAGATACTAATGCTAAGTTGCACGATTTAAATATGAATCAGCGCCCTTTTTATGAAAGATGGAAGATGCTCGAGAAGGAGGTGATAGATCCCCGAAATCATGAGAAGGCCAGAAGTCATATCTACAGATATGATCTTGAACCTTTTAGGGTGCGTAGTAAGAGCTACATTATTCTTCCTCATGCCATTTCCCATTCTTACAGTTCCCCTGTATAACTGCTCATGGAGCTGGTACTTATATTTTTGCCTAGGTACGGAGAAAAGATTTTTGGTTGCTTTCTGCGGTTGAGAAGGTTTTGAAGGGTTTCATTCCATCACTTTCACATGAAGCTGACGGCCTTATATTTCAGGTATCCATGAGACGGAAAGAGGATCTCAAATGTTAAGACTTTAGGACTAAAGCCATAGCTTATAGTCAAGTTTGGCTCTGGCACAGCGTATAAATATCTGAAATTTGCTTATCTGTTAACAGGGTTGGGATGACCCTTATGTTGCCCGTACCCATGAAGGTCTACTGAAGTGGAAGTATCCAGAAATGAACTCGGTTGACTTTCT